CGAATAACGCACCACATTAATACATTATATTCCTGAAATTTTCCTCTGTCGTTGTTCAAATGTTTGTAAATGCTTTGTATTTTAATGATATTGTCTACTACAAATAATTGACGGTGCACAGTGAATTTGAGATGAAATATAGCAATGAGTTTTGCTTTGCTTTGGGTTTCTTCAAACCGGTAAGAATTTGTCATTTGCAATTTATGCTAAGTAACTTTATTTGTCATTCCTGTTTTCAGGGTGGAGAGACAGGGGATTGGTGTAATGTTATCCGCCAGAGATTTTGTTGCGTTACAATAATAAATTCGACTGGGCGTTCTGGAAGTAACCTCATTTGCTTGAAATCAAATTTGTATCCCCCAACAGTAACCCGCTTAACACCTGTACCGTATACATATATGTTTTGTAAATAAAGATACCTTTATAAATCCGTACGATCTACTAAAACATACTACAGTTAGTACATTTCTGAATATCCCAATTTCTACTAGTAGATATTTGAAATTTTGATTTGTACTGGATTTTAATTAGTATGACACATAATTCTAATTTCTACAACTAGAAATTATAATTGCAATTTGTATAATTTGTACTAGGATTCTGGATCTCCATGAATTCCAATTTTTACTGTAAAATTGAGAATGGAAATGGGGAATGTGTCAAAGAGACAACAACCCGACCATAGAGCAGACAACAGCCGAAGGCCACCAATGGGTCTTCAATGCAGCGAGAAACTCCCGCACCCGGAGGCGTCCATATATGTAGCATATATATAACGATTCAAAACCATGACCTTGGCAAAGCTCAATAATCTAGGTCTGATCTGACCCAATATATAACAAGAGGCTCCTATGAGCCTGAATCGCTCACCTGTAATTTATTGGTATATCTTGTATCAATGATTATTTTGCTATGTAATGTATATTAATGCACGTTTAAAAAGGCCTTTAACAGATCATCATAAAATTATAAAACATTGGTAAAAATCATCTATAAGGAATCATTTAACATTTTCGGTCATGTTGACTTATTCGCAGGTCTTACTTTACTGAACATTTGCGCTGTTTGAAGTTATTCTCTATCTATCAGTTTCTCCGAAAACAAAAAAAAATATTTCAAAAATCATCTTTCAAGGCCAATAACTCATATAAGGTATGATTGACATTTTAGGTCAAGTTGACTTATTTGTAGGTTTTACTTTGCTGAACATTTTGCTATTTGAAGTTTCAGTTTATATATCATAGTTTCTGAGCGAGAGAAAAAACTTTAAAATTTAAGAAAAAGTCTTTCAAGGGTAATAACTCATATAAAGGATTAATTGACGAATTCCGTTCTTTGCTTTATTGTTAGAACTTACTTGGCTGAACATTTTTTGCTGTTTTAAAATTTCTCTTTATCAATAATAGTTTTCAAAATAACAACCAAAAACTGAGAAATTTCATAAAAACTATTATTTCAGGGGCAATAACTTCAAATTGGGTTGTCCAACATCTTCAATAATAAATCTTAACTAATTGATTAACTTAAATAATTTTTGCTCTGACTGCTTTAGTTTTTTATATATAAGCTAATACTGCATTTTACCCCCATATTTTTATTTTTAATCACGGCAGACATGTTTGTTGACTGAATAAAATACACAAACGTTATAGATACTAGATACCATAAGGGTCATTCACCCCAAGTTTGGTTGAAATTTGTTCAATAGTTTCAGAGGAGAAGTTCTTTGAAAAAAAATACGGTGACAGACAACGACAATGGACGGCAAGTGACGATAATAACTCGCATATCCAAAAGGGTCAGGTGAGCTTAAACAAAGTTCAACTTCCTTACAGTCTAAATCGTCTCTATCATAGTACTTCGGTACTGGCATGGAAAAGACAGAAATATTGTTATAAAAATGTGTCGAAATTTACATCTGGTGGAAAAAATTGGTACCGTTAATGTTATTAATACCACTAGGTTGATACCTCTGCTGGTGGACTGTTAGTCCCCGAAGTATCACCAGCCCGATAGCAAATACTTCGATACTGCCATGAAAATACAGATATTGTGTTATAAAAATTTGTACAAAATTTATTAAACTATTTTCCATAAATGAATATATCTCCCCCATACAAAGCTCTGATTTCTTGCCAGACTTTGGCTATTCTTTTTTTCCTTTTATAAGCTCTTCATATTTTAATAAGTTTTAGATTTTCAAATATTTTGGCCTCGAGCATCACTGAAGAGACATGTTTGTCGAAATGCGCATTTGGTGCAGAAAAATTGGTACCGTTAATGTTATTACTATCACAATGTCATTACCTCTGTTGGTGGACTGATAGTCCCCGTTGGTATCACCAGCCCAGTGTCCAGTAATTCGGTACTGGCATGAAAATACGGATAGTGTGACAGTGTTATACATTTTTTCTGTTGATATAAGAATAAAGAGATGTGGTATGATTGCCAATGAGACAACTATCCACCAAAGATCAAATGGAGTGGATGTAGCAATTATAGGCAACAAAATGGCCTTAAACAATGAGAAAACCCCATACCGAATAGTCGGCTATAAAAGGCCACGACTTTGTCGTATTTGAACAAGACCCTCTTGGGTAGTCAAGGTCGTTAAAAAAAACCCTCGTCGTCGTATTTGAAACACAATCACATTTTTACTCTTTTTCATTTAATCGATGTTTAAGCTTATTAAACATGTAACATACTTCTGGTGGTAAGAGTTGTGTATTGAGTTCTGTAATAAGTATTTATTACAGATAAATGATAAGTATGGTAAAAATACACTGTTAGAACAAACATATATACTTAAAATTTTGTTAATTGACATAATTGAGAAGTTTGGTTATTTGGTCAATTGAGATTGGCATGAAAAAGGAAAAGTTTCAAGTTACAAACTCCACCTTTGTTTTCTATTGTTTATTGATTACAGACGACAAGTTATATGTAAAATAAAAATAAATGAATAAGAAATAAATAATCATTTTATTATAGTGTCACATATTTGATCAAACAATATATATATATATATACAACATTCATAATAAAAACAGAGATAAAATATCCAGCCTTAGAATAGATTTATGAGACACTTTAAAACATATTATAACATAAGCGGGATTGGAGAGTGAAATAACTAAAAAATCATTCAGTTAATGCACTCCTCTAAAATAACCGAAGTGAACTCACTCTAAGATCAAAGGAAATATTACCATTCATATTACAATCTAAATTGTATTTTTAGTACTCTTACTAAACAACATTTAACAAAGACAAAACTAGCAAGCAAATTAACTAAGCTAATGGCAAATTTACTTGAGTATAACAGTTCAAAAGATATTACTCATTTTTTCAGTTCTTTTTGTGCATATATTCATACACTTCGGACGTTCTGGGAACTTTTATTCAGTGGCGAACACATCTACATACATTTTATACTAGTTTGTGCGGTGTTGCCAAAGGAAAGAATATGAACATTTAAAATCTTAACCATGCTTGCTCCCATTGTTCCAATTTATGTAAGTCTGTTGAAGGGTGTGGCAGTCAGTAAGTGATGATACTGATAAATACACAATGTATCATCTGCAAAGAGGCGAACATTACTTTTGAGGTTGTCTGGCATGTCATTAATGTAAATAAAGAAAAGACATGGACCAAGAACAGAGCTTTGAGGAACGCTACTTGATGTGTGACTGTCAACTACCACTTTTTGAAATCTGTAAGATAACCATGCCTTAATCCAGTCTGATGTTTTATTGTTTATACCCATGCATTTTAGCTTTAAGATAAGTCTTTGGTGGTCTACTCTATCGAATGCTTTTGAGAAGTCCATAACAACTATGTCAGTTTGTTTACCGTTTGCCATATAATCGAGTATTTGTTGTGTGAATGTTAGTAGTTGTGTTTCACAGCTAACTTTTGATCTGAACCTATGCTGCAGTGGGTATGGTAAACATGGTAAATTATAATTATCTAGATGTTTCATTATAGATGATTCAATAATGTGTTCTAACGATTTACTAAGAATACAGGTTGGGGAGATAGGCCTATAATTTCGGGTTCAGATTTTGCTCCTTTTTTGAATACTGTAACCAACCATGGCCTCTCTCCAGTTGTTTGGTACTGTGCCTGTATTTACTGATGAATTAAACAAGTCAGATATTACAGGTGCAGAGATTTCATGGTGTACTTCTTTTAAAAAATGAGGTGATATGTTGTCTGGACCAATTGCTTTAGATGGGTTTAAGTTTTTTAGTAATTTGGATGTTCCTTCTGAAGTGATATTATTGATTTGCTTCATTTCAAATGTGTGTGTTGTTGTTGATTCTAATTATTTCAGTTCACAAATGTGTGATAATTTTAAAGGTTTAGGTATGGTAAGTGCTGAGTGAAACTGAGAGTCAATGCTTCAGCCTGATCTTGAGGGTTTGTTTTTGTTATACCATTTACCTTTAGTGGTGATACATCTATGTTTTCACTTTTCTGTTTTTTATGAATTATCAAAATTTCTTGCTGGGTTTATCTTCCAGTTTACTGTCTTCAATTATAATATTTTCTATATATTTCTTGTATGATTTTCTTAGCTTTTAGTGCACTAGGTGTTTTAAAGATCTGTAATTTTTGATAATATCTGATTTATGCTCTGCTTTTGTTGATTTTAATTTCTGATATATTCTGTCTCTTTTTCTTAGTAGTCTCTTTATTTCTAGTGTTAGCCAAGGAATATTTAGTTTTTGTTTCAATATTTTAGATGGAATATTTTTGTCTGCTATATGTTGTATTTTTTTTTATCAGCAGCCCCTTTTCTTCTGTAGTGGTGTTTGTTATTCCCAGAGAAAAGTATTCATCTTGGAAGTTCTTCACTTCTGTACCTATTTTGTCCCAGTCTGCTTTTTTGAATTGATTTATTTTTCTACCCATTTTATGTTCATTTCATGAAAGACAATGTCATGGTCTGATGTTCCAAGACTAGGTAGTGTTTTTATGTTTTGTACAAGTTAAGGTAACAGGTACGTAAATGGCTTGTCCACCGATTTTTTTAAGAAATTGTATGCACGTAGAACTTCTAAAAATAAACAGAAAAATTGAAAAATTTGAGTGGGTAACCGTTCTAATTTAAAAGTTACAGTCATTTGAAAATGTTAGAATAACACCATGAAGTACATAGACATAACGTCAAATTTACGCAAAAAATAAGAAATTTCAAGCTTAATTTAATCTGCAGTTAAAACCATTCCTACAATTTTTCTATAAAAATTAAATGTTTTTATGATAGAATTTTCCTTTCCATTGATATATAATTTTCCTATGGTTACCGGACTCTCTTTTTATATATCAGCCGTTGAAAGGGTGTTGCTGACTGAAAAAAGATAGAAATTACATGACGTCGCCGAAAAGGATTACGCAACGTCAAGTCTCAATCAGCAGAATCGTCACCAACATAGAAATCTTGTCAAATAAAGACAACGACCGCTACATCAAGGTGTCTCTTTGATTATAATGACGATATACATTCATTGATTATATTTTCGACCCGAAAATACATGAAATATTTGCTGCTGCACAATAAGGGAAACGAAATGTACCAAAGTCGAAAACAAACTGACAATGCCACGGAAAAACTGTAAAAAAAAAACAAAAGACAAACAGTAGTAAACAAAACAAACATTTCTTTTACCTGATCGTTGCAGAATAATTGAATAGTCATCAATGTGCCGATGGACCGTCGTACGACGTAGATGTAGGTCACATATATGTATTGATAATTATGTTTTCAATGGCACATGAACACAACACAAAAAAATAAACACATACATCGAGCCCAATAGTACTGATTTAATTTTTCATCCTAAAATTAAATGGTGTGTTTAATATTATAAAAGCAAAGGGGATACACGTAATTGATAGGTAAAAACCCAACACAAAAGATATTTTGGAAGTTTGATGCAAATTATCATTTCTCTTTTCTCTTATCCGTGGTTTTGTTCAATTAATCTTAGTGAAAATTGTGAATTGATGCAAATATTTTAAAATTGTAATGTGTTTCGTCTAGAAACTAAACGTGTAATACAATAACAAAAGTATATGCGTTCAGACAATGTTTTTTCTAGTTTTTCAATGACATAATGTGTTCTGAAATCGAGTCTAGTATCTTCTTGTCTTTAGTAACTCGGGGCTTCCCGTCAAACTGTTCGGTTAGCAATTCGCGTATGCCATCAACACCTCCTCTATTTCCTGCAAGGATAAGATGGTTTAACCGTAAACCAGATCTGGCAATTTTGTTCAGCATTGTCTTTGAACAAAAAGTAGATGGCATGTTGCTAAATGTATCCAGTCTAGATTTAGTTAGCTGCAGCTTACTGATCATGTTTACTGTGTACTGAACAGAGAAGCTGTGTTTTTCTAGAATTCTTGGAGAGACTTTTAGCGTGTTGATCAGCTGTTGCAGGGATTGCACATCGCCAATGGCATTGTGTGCATCATAATTTATGCCAACAATATCTTTTACAAGTGATTCCTGGTTGTATGACTGCTTATTTGTCTTTCTGTCTGGTAGTAGTTCTTTAGTCAATGATAAGGTGTCAATAAATCCACCGCATTTTAATTCAAAATCTTTCATGATATTATAATTTTGTAAAGCCTTAGTCAAAATTCTGGAATCAAAAATTTTTGAATTGTGACCAATCAAAATGCATTTTTTGGGAAGCCAAGAAATAAACTGTTTAAAAATTTCACTTTCTTCGTCCGTCTGCATTATTTCCCCGTTTTTATACAAAATTAAACCACTTTTTGAAAATCCGGTTACTTTAGAAGCAGATGGCGAGATACGCTGACCGGGTACCATATACCGATTATAATTTTGGTTGTCATATGCTGCAGCTAATTGAATAATATCACAATCAGTACCTGAAAACGAAACAATTCAAAATAAGTCTTTGATATTAATACTTACAAAATTGCCGTCCTTTCATTCATCTTACGATGCACACAGTAACAAACTACAATCGTTTATATTACTTAGCAATACAAACGGAAACGCATACAGTCCCATGCAGGAAAAAAAAAACATTTGTTGTTTCCCGTTATACATGATAGCGATTCCGGTTGTGAAGGGTTTTTTTTTTTCATCTTGTAGTCTCCTCTGAATTTCTGTATTTCAGTTAATTTCTCTATTTATTCTTTGTTTTTAATTTATTTCTTCTAAATACTGTAACTATATATATAAAATCAGAAATAAGATAAATTGATTTATTGAAGAGACAAGTGTTATTAAACGTGCAGAGGTGCATACATGTATGCATAATGTTAAAGACATGTGATATTATTACTATATTCAAACTCCTAAGTATTGATATATAAAAAAAAACACTAAGAAATTTCATATACTGTGATACTATAAAGATTTCTAGTAATATACTCAGGTCGTATAGAAACGCAACACATTTTATTCCAAGTTGTCTTTTGTCCCTTTTTGAATGACAATACGAAATATAAAATATTATGCCTACATGTAACGTTAACAGACTGGTCTCGCTTGTTTATAAATTTCCGATTAGTCACCTTAGATTCAAATCAAAGAAGATCTGGCTGTTTAAATTCTTAATAAATAAGAAAATAACCTGTAGCCGAAAAGGGATAACGATTCTATTGACAATATAATAAAAGAAAGCCAACAACAAAAACAATTAATTTCTTACCGAACCCTGTAGTTTCAAGGTCAAAGTAAACAAATGTTTCGTCTTTCAAAGACATAGGATCTTCCGTCACTTCTGGTTCAGGATCAGGAATGTGTGAAATATCTTCAGCATTCTCACTCGATTTTGCTGGTGCAGAAATAGAGGTAGCATATGTTACGCCTTCTCGTATTTCTTTGGCCTTTAGATTCAAGTTGAATTTTCCCTTTTTGACAAGTCTTTTTCTCTTCGCCTCCCGGGTACTTGCATTTACTTTGTCATGCTTGCGCTTTTTGTCTATTTTTGCCGTATGCATTACTGTAAATTTTCCAGGTGACAATTTATGAGCTTCATATACTTGTGGTATATAAGAACGACCTTCGTTTTTCTGAATTACTCCCACGCATACTCGGAAAGGAAGGGATTCACTACTCCCAAAATGCTTTGCTTTTGGTGCCTTTAACGCGATTATTTGATTTAAGGATTCGTTTCCTTGCGAGCTGCCACAGTTAGCTAATTTATCTGAATTCTTTGCGTAAGTATCAAACAATTTTGACAAATCGGCAAACATTTCCTCTCCGTTTAAATTTTTGCCATATGGAAGACTTTTATGTTTGTAATTTTCTGGATCTTTATGGTAGTTACACCACGATAAGTCACATTTAGAATGGTCACCAAAAGAATGGGGAATGATTGAATAAATATTCTGGCTCAATTGTTCTGCACGGTTCTTGTTTTGGGCTATTGCATAGTCTAAATCTTTTGTCAAGTAGCTTATAGTACTAGTTGACAATTTACCTTTGTGTTTTTTATGTAAGCGGTATAAGTCACTAACAATATTTTTTCTTTGGTGATTTCTGTCTGATCTTTTAACAATGTCAGAATTAATGTTTTCTTTTAGTCTAGCCAGAGTAGTGGTATCGTCATCCATTATTATACAGGAAACTTTGCATCCTTTGCACTGCAGCTCCTGCACCATCTCAACGGCTAAGTTTGACTCCATCGACTTTGCACTTCCAGTATGATTTTTCCTACAATCGTGATGTCCATCTCCCTTTTCATCCACATACATACATTTTCTGCAGTCTGCTGATTTAGTTCCTTGACTCACACATTTTCCAGTTTTTTCACCTATCATTGTAGCATGACCTACCAATATAATTATAAGATTAATTTAAAATCGATAAGAATTTATAACAGCATTCTTATTGAAAAATATATATCAAAAATGAAAAGAAGAATTTGTCTGGGTACACAAATGCCCCCACCCAAAGCTTTGAAATATTTGTGGTTCTCAGTAATGTTTATGAGATTCATAAAATTTACATGAGGCAAACGTAAGATAGAGTGGGGAAACGAAAACATTTACAATTTTCCCATTTAAAAGGGGGCATAACTCTAGAATAGTAAGCGGCTCACTGCCTAAATTTGAACCCTGCATGTCTGCAAATTGTTGTGTTCAACATTGAGGATTACTTTTATTAAATGTGGGTGAGAAGATTGTGAAAACAAAAATGGGACGGACGGAAGGACGGTCAAGGGTAACACTTAATTCCCCCTTTGGCTAGCCTCTAGGCATAAAAAATCATTAACCAAATAAGAAGCGTTTTTTCGGGTGTGAGGAGTGGGCTCTGTTTTAGCTATTTATCGTTTTCCAGTGCATATAGGTATACCTGTCAAGCTACTGTAGCTTCTTCCACTTCCTCTTTTCTGCCAAGCACCATCAAAAGAAACTGTTATTGAAGTTCCATTTGAATGATCATCTTCATCTCTAAAAATATATGATTCTTGTTAATGGGCCGTTTATATAAACAAGGTTTATTTAATCTTACAAGCTGGCAATCAGATTAACTTTGTTTTCAATATATCTATAAACTATCATCCATTTTATATATTATTGATTGTGAGGAGATGCCTGGATCCATTATATATATTATTGATTGTAAGGAGATGCCTGGATCCATTATATATATTATTGATTGTGAGGAGAAGCCTGAATTTCGTTTGATTTTTTCATAATACTGAACCATTGACACTTCAAGATTTAATTTTAGATGTTCACCATTTGCAATGATTTATTTCTTCATAAAGACATTTTCTAAAATTGGTTAATTACTATAAACTAGAGACACCACTATCCCAAGTTTTGGGAAGGGTAAGTGCCTTCAAACAAGTTTAACCCCGCCACCTTCTGTATGTGCTTGTCCCAGGTCAGAAGCCTGTAATTCAGTGGTTGTCGTGTGTTGCTGTGTTACATATTTGTTTTTCGTCTATTATTTTGTACATAAATCAGACCGTTAGTTTTTCTCGTTTGAATTGTTTAACAGTATTTCGGGGCCTTTTGAGGCTGACTATTCGATATGGGTTTTTCTCATTATTGAAGGACTTACGGTCTTATACATGCAGTTGTTATTTTGTGCTATTATGTCTATCGTGGAGAGTTGTCTTAGTGCATGTCAATCATACCACATCTTCTTATTTTTAATAGATATAAAATTTTGAATTACCTGCTTAAATCTATTTCTTCTTGTAGAGCTTTCTGACAAGACATTTCAGCACATTTTTCTATGGATTTGCCGATTTCTCTTTCTCTTATCTTTAAATTCTTAACTGCTATTGGGGGGATGTTAATGCCAGCAAGGAAATTGACTGTCTGGTGTGGACCCATTCCTGCATCTAAATAGGCTAAACAAAGATTTCTTTCATAAATATCCGATTTATGTAATAAAATTTAAGTTTATTGGAAAGACATTTTAATAAAATGTTCGTACTTAAAAAATACGTATCGCAAAAAAAATAAAACCTCTAATTCTAAATTCTAATTGCTACATTTGTATACATTTTTTACTGAAATCGCAATAACTAGTGACATAACTTTTCCTATTTCAAAATAAATTAATCAATGCACGCACAAATTTCTGAATTTTCTGTATACTATATGAACTTGGCTTATCATTTTATTTTTGAAGCGGCGGTAAGGGATAATTTTCGTGCAGCGGAATCGTAATTTTCCCTTCTCGTATTTTCATGCTTGAAACTCATTATTCATCATATTTCTTTCAAATTGAATTAAAAGAAACGTGTAAACTTTTTTGTAATAAATTTTTGTTTATTTTGAAAGACCATTTTACTTCCCGTTTGTCCGTGCACAATGTCATCCCAATTTCGATTCGCATTCAATTTTCTTTTCCTTTTCTCTTGCTCAATTACCCTTCGGAAGTAATTTCCGACATTACATTTTGTAAATTTCATTTCACGCAACAATTTAAAATTCTTGTTCAATATTTTTAGTAAAAATTATTTGTTTTAATCCTATTTTTTTCACTCTCGGTACTAGCACTTTCCACTTCTATTTATAGACCATATTGCGGACGTGAAAGAAAGCACTGTAAACAACGGTTTTTTATTTGTATGAACATCCAAATGTTTATATTTGTGTGAGAAAATGATTGTCTAACACGAATGTCAAATCAAGAATAATAATTATTAAGCATATAAAAGAGTATTTCCTCTTTTTTGTTAAGAGTTGAATACCTTCAACCGTTGACAGTTGTTTTACTTTTGAGAAACGAATTTATCTCTTTGACTTTGTATGCAATATTGTAAGTGTGAGTCTTCGACTTCAAAAATTAGAATGAAAATAAAAAAAGTCAACGTATTAGTGTGAGCTTTAATTTGTTATTGTGTGTATATGCAAGTGTTTGTAATATTCTTACCCATACTACACTTTGTATTCACGTCCCATATCAACATTCCCTTTTTTGAAGTCTCTGATCTGTGCCGTTTACCAGTGTTTATTAAGTTTGTGTAGGGACAGCTACCACAAGGTATATACAAAATACTTCCGAGACCGTATCTTTGTTCTTTTGAGCAGTTGTGTAAAAATAATGGTGCATAGCAGTCCTTGCAAGCTTTAAGTTGGTCAGCTAGTAACCCCAACTCAACCACTCTTCGACCATCACGCCATGCCAAGTTACTTTCATTTTCTTGGGAGGGAAGCAATGTTTCACTCGGACAAGACATTTCACTTACAATAACTACACTTTTTGTTATATTTTGATGAGAAGAATTGAATACTTTTCCACCGAATTGACCATTTTTCCGACGAAGCGGAATATCTTCCGACATCTTGGAAATATTTTTCTGGTGTAAGGGGGATAACTCTCATAACAACGAACGCAAATTTTCCCGTTTTCCGTTAGAGGCGTTCATTTACGTACCTCTCACCTTAAGGCTGATTTAGGTACAACAGATCTAGTGTGTTTTCCTGTCTTGTTGGTATATGTACCACCTGTTCAAGATTATGGTCATTCATGATATAAAAAAAGTTGTTGTATGTATTTGTGAATTTGCAATTGGGTTTTAGTTCTTGTTTGACCAAGTCATATTTAGGGAGGTTGAAATCTCAAAGTAGTCAAATATTACTGTGTGTTGGTATTCTCTGTAATAATCTACTTATTTCATTGATACTATCAGTATCGTTTTCTTGTGGTTTGTAATAAGCCCTAATATAGATAGCTTTTACTCAGATTATATCTACTTTTGCACATAATAGTTCACAGTTTGTGTCTTGTTCTGATGACAAGATATCAACTGATATTACTAAGAAAACTTTCTGCATTGTGAGTGCCTTATTGATTGTTTTACTCTTTCTGATTGGATAACCTTAGTCGATCTTACGTTTAGCTTGATTCGAGCGTCACTGATGAGTCTTTTGAAGATGAAATGCGTGACTGGTTTACAAAATCATCAAACTGGTATCTTTGATGAGTTTTTTAATCCTAATAGAAGGAAAAGCTTAGTACTTAGCAAAGTTATCAAAACACAAAACTTATAAAGTATGATGTCGATAACAATGAACATAATTGTGCTTGATCGACGCTCATATACAATTGTATAAAAGACATGAATTATTGGAGACTTGAACATTCTAAAACGAAAAGTTTTATACAAATAGTATACAAATTTGCCTTTTTAATTTGGAAGGTAGCATGAGGATTCAGTTTTGTTTGTAGATTGTTTAGAATGACTGCAGTTAAATGTTTGAGTCATATTTTTACTTCTGGATTTTAAACCCATATCTGCTATTGTTACAGTACTCTGCTTGTAGTCTTTTCATTATCTTCTCATCCTAAAAATGCATGAAACATTTACCACTAGACATAAGCAAACAATCAATCTTTATCTTCTTTTTTTCTCACATAAAACAAAATTGTATTGTATCATTTTATTCAGAAATGAGGCCTAATTATTTCCCAGTTTAAAATATCAAATAGTGCTAAGCTTTGGAAACATAACTGTCAGGCAAAAAAAAGAGCATTGAATTATCAAAGTAATGAATTTTCAAATCCTTATTAACCAAGGGGAAGGTGATCTTAAGCTATAGATTCTTTACAGTTTGAGGTCCAGTCCATCCTATCTGGGTAAATATAGATTGTGATGAAGAGTTTGTACCAGCAAAAAGCTTTCATTTCAAATGTTAGCTGTTCAGATACTTTTTTCCTTGTTTTCTGTACTATTCTATGCATTTTGATTTTTTCTTATTCTTTTTTCTTGAAATGGACACTGATAAGGAAGTCCTTACTTCATAAATTCCAATATTGAGGTCACAAACTGGTTGATTATTCACGTAACATCTTTCAATTAAGAAGTTTTTGTGACATTTATATTATTGTGAAAAAATTGTGACAGGAAGTTTCACTAAAGAAGAAACTCACATTTCAAATTTTGATGGTATTATTTATATGCAACATTTCCTGAAATTGTAACAATAAATCAAGTAGTTTATGAAAGCTGTGGCTATTTCAATAAAAATATCATAACCTTCTTTACCCTTTAAAGCTGTTTGAATCCGAAAAAGTTTTTACTATGTTCCTGGCAACTTTTCAATAGAATGATAGTCATTTGAATTATCTCCCCTTCCCTGTTTATACCAAGCTAAATTGTCTCAATATTAAACAATTATATCAATAATAAAAGATACAGTCCTTATGGTAAAGGTCTTATTATGGCTCAAGTTACTGTTAAATAGGACTGATGAAATGCTCAAAAAACTTATTTGGCCTGGACAATAAATCTTTAATATCAAGATGAAATGTGAATCACATATGGGTTTAAATAAAGATAAAATAAATCATCTCCAACAATACTTCTATGAAAATTGGTATAAAACTAATGCTGAGAGAAAGTTTCATTGTAAACCATTACATTTGCAAAACTACAAGCTCCATGCATGAAATGATCATGCCATGTTCTGAGTAAATCAACGATTGTTCTGATATATTGGTAACAGTACTGTACTATAGGACATCTTCATCTTAAATAATTCATAGATATTGCTAACGTTTAATAGCAGTGCATAAAGCTAGAAATTATCATAAAACAAGAAATAATAAAAGAAAATGGTCTCATTATAGGAACTAAATGCAACTAAAATAAAATAACTAAAATTTGACTGAAAATTCTGTTTTATTTTCTTTTTACTACTCATGCAAAAATTACAACAGAACTTTAATTAAGTTTAATACAACAAATTAAGACTCAACAAATGCAACTAAATTATGCAAAAAATCTTTTGTCAGAGTAAAATTGCTCTGAAGTCATGAAAATTTTAGAATGACTTATCAGTTTTTTTGGTGAAAGGAACGGGACCACTGATTCGTAAATATATATCGTGAAATAAACCACCTAAACACAAAACTAATGTAAAGCAACATAAGTTTGACATTGTTGAAAAGAAGAAAATTATTTGAAGGTCACTATATGTAAAATTTTACACATTTGCACTTGGATATCTTTTTTTCTAAATATCTGATCAGTAAATCTACTAGATTTAACATCATTCAGCAATATTTTTAACACATTTCGATATCTTTATATTTATTTTAATACTTTTGAAAAATCATGATTTAAAAACAAAAATTTAAACAAGATTTAAATTCATCTTTCTGAAAATTGTTCCTGTGAAATAAAAAGATTTAATATTAATAAAAAAATATTTTTAAAAATATTTTAAATCAATAAATTACAACTTTTATTCTCAGACACAAGAAATAAATGCAAAAAAGCAGAAATAACAACATTATGCACGTAAAATAATTGCAACTATTACAGATAATTGCAAGTCATGAGTAGTATATTTCACATCAAGTGAATGTCTACTGAGAAGAAAAATAAATGCACTATAGTTATTCATAATTTATTCATTACAATAAAAATAATCATCTACCTACACTATCATCATATCAAATACAATATTTTTATTCATTATATAACCAGATTTCCAGTGACTATTGAAGACAAACTTTAAAACTTAACTTGCAAACTTTGAACAATTGTAACTTATGTTTCAAAATCTTGTCTTACATGACAAAGTTAGAACAAAGATAATGAATAAAGTTTTGTTTTTATTGAGCACTTCAACATGTAAAGAAGTTTCTTAATTTATACTCATTTTAAATATTAACAATATAGGACTGATACATTAAAAACACACATGTCAACAGATAACATCAAATATTGGGTACACAAACTTTATATTTTTTTCATTTGATATACCAGGGCTGACTATTTTTGTAAAACATGGTCTTTTGAAACAAAAACGAACTAGCCATTAGTTTCAAAAATATTTTTTTTATGAATCAGTCCCATGTCTTGAGCATAGCACTTTCAATCATAGCAATGGAGTTTTGGCAAGGGTGGGTAGTTATTGTTGAAAGACATTAAAATTGTCCTCTGTAAAATATTAAGAATGAATGTAACAAACATTGTACACAAAAATCAGATCTCTTTCCTAATATCTAGATGCATATCAATCCTCAAATAAAAAATATCAATTTTATCTAAAGTAAAAACATGAAAATTATTATCCTTATTTAAGCAGAACCCAGGTAATGAAGAATTGAAGCTTAACTAAATGAAAAGCATATAATACAGCTAATAGGGACTTCAGTCCACTACAGGTCAGCTAAATAAATAGATGGGCAATATGTAACGAAGCAAACATCACGTCCAAGACTTGGAATCACTACTTAAAATTTGACAATACATCTTATTGAACATTTGATTTTAAACTACTATAATTGTGTATCTTTTCTATTTTAACAAAGCTTTTATCAAAAAACCCCAAAAAAAATTAAATCTTAAAAACACCTAATACACATGTATAATTAGGGTTGGTGATTTTCTAGTCATGGTTCAGGCAAAATTTCTTGGTGAGTGCTTCATTTTATGATTTTAACTTTTTTTGTTGCTTATCAAAATGAATCATATCACCATCATAACTCATATAACCAAAAAATTACATGTTTTTCATAGGACATTCATTTGTGGATTGCCTCTTTAATGTGGAACTCATAAAAATAAGTACCCTAAAATATATTCAAGATAGATGAAAATGAAGCAATTCAAAAGGGGTATTACATTATGGGATTGGCATTGTCTCAGACATAACTGATTAATACTGGCAACATCTGAAAGGAGGTTGAAACTTTGCAATACAATGTATACAGATTAAAGTTGACTTTCTGTGTTAGTTCATTTAATCATTGATCTATCACAGCTTTCTATTTTCTAAAATAAAAATTGAATGTGTAAAATAACTGGAAATAGGCTACTGAAACTTTCAATTTTCAATTTATTGCAGGTTTTATCTGCATAAAAATATTATTATCCTGTAAGACAGTAACTGTTACCCATCATGTGTAACTACAAACAGGGAAGAAGTTAACATATTGCCTTTCAAACCAATGCCCATTCAACTATTCTGTGTTTTACCTCCAGTCATTAAGCCAGTTCTTAAATAGCACATGTTTTAAAAAAAAACACTTTTTTACGACTAGCACAGTGAATAGTAGTAGTAATGTCAAGGCAGAAACCTGCCAACATGACTCGGTACACTTGGTGTCAGAAGTACACTGAAGTATGTTTAAGTAAACCGAAATGATTATCTGACAATATTAAAGCTACTAAATGTATGGTTCACCATAATGAACTATCTTGGTTGCCCCTTGCATTGCCGAACGGACTAAATGGTGGAGAGTTTTTAGTACTGTTTGGGGTACCATTATAAGAGTTCATGCCATTGTTTGCTGTTCCAAATGAAGAATAACTAAATCCTCTCTTCTCATAATTCCATGATTTGTTTGTTGAGTTTGCTGTAGATCCTGTAAAGATAAAATCATAATTATTGCAAATACCTTTGGTCAACAAGATTATGATGTAGTCATTTATAATACCCTTTTATGGGAGAAAGGTAGTTGCAATTTGAAATTAATTTCAAGGTATATATATATATATATATAAACGCCTAAAAAGTGTACACAACAACACCAATAACAAAAAAAGGAACTATAAATGTAATTATTTATAAATATTTCGGATAACAGATATCCTTCATCAGTAAATATGATTGTGATGTTGAATGAATCATATATCAGTCTACTTAGATTAAACTATACAAATCTTGAAATTTATACAATAAAAATGTCAAACCGAACATCAGGTAAGACGCTTGCACAATTCTAAATATGTGTTAAACACGACATAGGTTATATGACTAATTACAACAGAGAGTTCAAATATATGCTTTAAATAAAAATAATAATGTGCGATATGAACTAGCACAATTCTAAAGCTTTAACGGTGACGACAGTTATGATGTTACAAGAACGATTGCGTCAATAAGAATTCCAAATAAACAGCACTGAACGATCTAAATTTGTAAATATTTCAAATTTGACAACGGTAGAGTAGTTGCAACAGAGTCTGCGTATTTAAACATCGCAAACAAACGGCCGTTAAAATATAATAATAAATTTTGACTAAGGTTAACTAGTTGAACGTGGCTTGGTACTTTTACATCCCTCAAAAAATTAAGCAATTTAAATTGGTATATTCAACAGATTTATTTTAGAGATGAGTAAGGTAAAGAAATAGAAACAGAGACTGTAATAAAAAGTAATACAACCCAAATGTGAAGCACTGCATGGAGTCGAACTACATCTTTTCATTTATCCCATTTGGTGCCAAAGTTGTTAATTTTCTTATCCAAAATCTTTCCCGAGTGAGTCTATCCTCCCTAGACCAAGCAGAGTTGTGGTCAATGATTGTAATGGTCAGTCGATTGAGATCTGCCTTAGTGTGGCCAGGGGATCTCAAATGTCGACTGAGAGGGAGGTCTGGCTTGCATTGGTAGTCGCTACGATGACCATTCATTCGTTTGTGAAACGGCTGTTCTGACTCGCCAACATACTGTTTACCACATTTACACTGTAGGAGATACACAACATTTGTAGTCTTGCAATTTACATTGCAAAATATGGTGTATTCTGTACCAGTGGAGTGACTGTTAAAAGTCTGGGTAACCAGTATTTGTTTGCAAGTCAGACATCGTTTGTTTCCGCAACCCTTGCAAGAGCCCACAGACGAAGAGCCTGCTTGAGAGGATAAATCAGCTCTCACCAGCAAGTCTTTAAGGCTTTTGGGCCTACGGAAAGCCAGTACAGGTGGCTCGGGAAAGATCTTGGATAGTTTAGGATGTTTTTCGATTTCTTTCCAATTTTCGCGGATTAGGTGAGATAAGTTGTCAAATTTTGGATGGTAAGTCAACACAAAAGGCACCCTCCTGTTGACCTTTTTGACTTTATATTGTAAAAGTTCATCTCGGCTGATGTTGTTAGCACGAGAAAAACCTTTATCAATGTCTTTTCTTTTGTAGCCCCGATGTTTTAGGTGACCGCGAAGTTCTTGTAGTCGTTTTTTTGCAATATCGTTGGTGGAGCAAATCCTTTTTATTCGTATGGCCTGGCTGTAGGGAATGCTCTTGGTGCAATGTTTAGGGTGACAACTCAAAGGAGATAGATATTGATGTTTGTCTGTGGGCTTGCAATACAGATCTGTAAATATGTTTCCATCCCTCACTTGCGTTGTAGTGTCAAGAAATGTGATCTTAGAGTCAGAGATTTCATATGTGAATTTTATTGAGGGATGGGCATCGTTGGCATGTTGAATGAACAAATTTAGTTCTTGTTCAGTATTATCCCACTTCATGTCAATATCATCGATAAATCGGAACCAAGAGAGGGGTTGATAAAGAGAAGAATTGAGAATTCTCTGTTCTAATTTCCCCATAAAAATATTGGCATAAGACGGGGCCATCTTTGTTCCCATTGCTGTTCCATTAACTTGGAGAAAGTGTTCACCATTGAATGTGAAGTTATTGCATTGTAATACCAAAGTTAGAAGCTGGATGAGACATTCAGTCGGTGGATGTAAGGTGTTACGAGAGTTCCAGACTTCCCTACAGGCTTCAATACCATCGTCATGGGGGATGTTAGTATAGAGGGAGGTAACATCAAGCGAGACAAGGATCGTTTCAGGTGGGAGAGGGTTCAAAGATTCCATTTTCTTAAGATAATGTGTTGTGTCTTGTATATAGGATGGTAAATTTTCCACATATGGTCTCAGATGAAAGTCAATAAATTCTGATATTTTCTCTGTAGGGTGGTCATTGGCGGAAACAATTGGTCTACCTGGATTATTGACTTTATGTATTTTGGGCAGAAGATAGAAACGCCCAGGCTTTGATTTTTCAGGTTTTAGATATTCAAATGTGTTTTCATCAATATGTCCCTCTTCACACATGTTTTTCAGGTTTGTGGTGATCTCTTTGTTGAATTGAGGGGTGGGGTCAGAGTCTAATTTCTTATAAAATCTCTCATCAGAGAGTTGACGTTCTGCCTCTTGAATGTAGTCACATTTGTCCATGACGACAACAGCGCTACCTTTATCTGCTGGTTTTATTATAATGTCGTCTCTGTTTTTAAGTAGCCGCACAGCTTCATTTTCTTCAGACGATAAATTGTTGAATGTTTGGGAAGTGGCAGTGGACAGATGTGTTACGTCGGATTTAATTTTGTCAATAATATGTTCTAAAGTAGCACATTTACTGGGTTTAGGAATCCATGAACTTTTTTTCCTGAATCTGGGAATATCGACATCCTCTTGGTCGTCATCTGAGTCGAGATCACTTGTGTCACTATCAGTGGTACTTTTTGTGGTGTCCTTAGAAAAATATTCCTTGATTCTGAGGGATCTTGCTAAATTGTCTAGGTCATCCTCCAAAAGTATAGAATCTATTTTGCCCGGCGTGGGACAAAAATTAAGACCTTTTGACAGTACCTTAGTCTCGGTCTCCGACAAAGCAACTGAAGACAAATTGACTACAGTGTTTGTAGAGTTCATGCAACTTTGTTTTTTTCTCCTGAATCGGCGATTCCGGGATTTTTTTCCGGTTATGATGGTACGATTGAGAGTTAAAGTGGTCTGCTCTCTTACAACAGTGTCTAAAAGTACGCCGTCTCGTTTAAATTTATTAATTTGTTTTTTGTGTAATTTCCGGGATTCAATGCGCAAGATGTCATGGAGGCGCTCGTTGATGGTGAGCAATTCAGGACCGGAAAGTTCTTGGCATGATTTGTTGTAAAGATGGTTATAACTAGTTTGTAAATTTAAATGTTTATGAGACGCTTCAGCGTGTAATAGATCCATCAATTTCACGGAACTACTGTGGAGAATATTATTCCATCTATCCATAAATCTGATAGATTTTTCACCGGTGGTAAGGGGTGAAGCTTTCAAAATAAGCCCCATCGGAACAATACCCTGAGACAGATAAGTTTTTAAATTTGATACATGATGTTCGGTTTTAACTATTTTAAGACTCAAAGCTCTAAGCTTTTTAAAAAAAGACATAGTTTGCCTGGTGGTAAGGCTGTAAGAAAAATCGGATCGCGTGATAAATCACTCGATACAGACTAAGAATAAAAATATATATAAAACGTCTGAATAATAGTCAACGATTTTTCCCACGAGGGCGCTGGATCGTTACGAGTAACGATACACGTACACAATAAATAAATTATATAAACGCCTAAAAAGTGTACACAACAACACCAATAACAAAAAAAGGAACTATAAATGTAATTATTTATAAATATTTCGGATAACAGATATCCTTCATCAGTAAATATGATTGTGATGTTGAATGAATCATATATCAGTCTACTTAGATTAAACTATACAAATCTTGAAATTTATACAATAAAAATGTCAAACCGAACATCAGGTAAGACGCTTGCACAATTCTAAATATGTGTTAAACACGACATAGGTTATATGACTAATTACAACAGAGAGTTCAAATATATGCTTTAAATAAAAATAATAATGTGCGATATGAACTAGCACAATTCTAAAGCTTTAACGGTGACGACAGTTATGATGTTACAAGAACGATTGCGTCAATAAGAATTCCAAATAAACAGCACTGAACGATCTAAATTTGTAAATATTTCAAATTTGACAACGGTAGAGTAGTTGCAACAGAGTCTGCGTATTTAAACATCGCAAACAAACGGCCGTTAAAATATAATAATAAATTTTGACTAAGGTTAACTAGTTGAACGTGGCTTGGTACTTTTACATCCCTCAAAAAATTAAGCAATTTAAATTGGTATATTCAACAGATTTATTTTAGAGATGAGTAAGGTAAAGAAATAGAAACAGAGACTGTAATAAAAAGTAATACAACCCAAATGTGAAGCACTGCATGGAGTCGAACTACATCTTTTCATTTATCCCATTTGGTGCCAAAGTTGTTAATTTTCTTATCCAAAATCTTTCCCGAGTGAGTCTATCCTCCCTAGACCAAGCAGAGTTGTGGTCAATGATTGTAATGGTCAGTCGATTGAGATCTGCCTTAGTGTGGCCAGGGGATCTCAAATGTCGACTGAGAGGGAGGTCTGGCTTGCATTGGTAGTCGCTACGATGACCATTCATTCGTTTGTGAAACGGCTGTTCTGACTCGCCAACATACTGTTTACCACATTTACACTGTAGGAGATACACAACATTTGTAGTCTTGCAATTTACATTGCAAAATATGGTGTATTCTGTACCAGTGGAGTGACTGTTAAAAGTCTGGGTAACCAGTATTTGTTTGCAAGTCAGACATCGTTTGTTTCCGCAACCCTTGCAAGAGCCCACAGACGAAGAGCCTGCTTGAGAGGATAAATCAGCTCTCACCAGCAAGTCTTTAAGGCTTTTGGGCCTACGGAAAGCCAGTACAGGTGGCTCGGGAAAGATCTTGGATAGTTTAGGATGTTTTTCGATTTCTTTCCAATTTTCACGGATTAGGTGAGATAAGTTGTCAAATTTTGGATGGTAAGTCAACACAAAAGGCACCCTCCTGTTGACCTTTTTGACTTTATATTGTAAAAGTTCATCTCGGCTGATGTTGTTAGCACGAGAAAAACCTTTATCAATGTCTTTTCTTTTGTAGCCCCGATGTTTTAGGTGACCGCGAAGTTCTTGTAGTCGTTTTTTTGCAATATCGTTGGTGGAGCAAATCCTTTTTATTCGTATGGCCTGGCTGTAGGGAATGCTCTTGGTGCAATGTTTAGGGTGACAACTCAAAGGAGATAGATATTGATGTTTGTCTGTGGGCTTGCAATACAGATCTGTAAATATGTTTCCATCCCTCACTTGCGTTGTAGTGTCAAGAAATGTGATCTTAGAGTCAGAGATTTCATATGTGACTACATTCAAGAGGCAGAACGTCAACTCTCTGATGAGAGATTTTATAAGAAATTAGACTCTGACCCCACCCCTCAATTCAACAAAGAGATCACCACAAACCTGAAAAACATGTGTGAAGAGGGACATATTGATGAAAACACATTTGAATATCTAAAACCTGAAAAATCAAAGCCTGGGCGTTTCTATCTTCTGCCCAAAATACATAAAGTCAATAATCCAGGTAGACCAATTGTTTCCGCCAATGACCACCCTACAGAGAAAATATCAGAATTTATTGACTTTCATCTGAGACCATATGTGGAAAATTTACCATCCTATATACAAGACACAACACATTATCTTAAGAAAATGGAATCTTTGAACCCTCTCCCACCTGAAACGATCCTTGTCTCGCTTGATGTTACCTCCCTCTATACTAACATCCCCCATGACGATGGTATTGAAGCCTGTAGGGAAGTCTGGAACTCTCGTAACACCTTACATCCACCGACTGAATGTCTCATCCAGCTTCTAACTTTGGTATTACAATGCAATAACTTCACATTCAATGGTGAACACTTTCTCCAAGTTAATGGAACAGCAATGGGAACAAAGATGGCCCCGTCTTATGCCAATATTTTTATGGGGAAATTAGAACAGAGAATTCTCAATTCTTCTCTTTATCAACCCCTCTCTTGGTTCCGATTTATCGATGATATTGACATGAAGTGGGATAATACTGAACAAGAACTAAATTTGTTCATTCAACATGCCAACGATGCCCATCCCTCAATAAAATTCACATATGAAATCTCTGACTCTAAGATCACATTTCTTGACACTACAACGCAAGTGAGGGATGGAAACATATTTACAGATCTGTATTGCAAGCCCACAGACAAACATCAATATCTATCTCCTTTGAGTTGTCACCCTAAACATTGCACCAAGAGCATTCCCTACAGCCAGGCCATACGAATAAAAAGGATTTGCTCCACCAACGATATTGCAAAAAAACGACTACAAGAACTTCGCGGTCACCTAAAACATCGGGGCTACAAAAGAAAAGACATTGATAAAGGTTTTTCTCGTGCTAACAACATCAGCCGAGATGAACTTTTACAATATAAAGTCAAAAAGGTCAACAGGAGGGTGCCTTTTGTGTTGACTTACCATCCAAAATTTGACAACTTATCTCACCTAATCCGCGAAAATTGGAAAGAAATCGAAAAACATCCTAAACTATCCAAGATCTTTCCCGAGCCACCTGTACTGGCTTTCCGTAGGCCCAAAAGCCTTAAAGACTTGCTGGTGAGAGCTGATTTATCCTCTCAAGCAGGCTCTTCGTCTGTGGGCTCTTGCAAGGGTTGCGGAAACAAACGATGTCTGACTTGCAAACAAATACTGGTTACCCAGACTTTTAACAGTCACTCCACTGGTACAGAATACACCATATTTTGCAATGTAAATTGCAAGACTACAAATGTTGTGTATCTCCTACAGTGTAAATGTGGTAAACAGTATGTTGGCGAGTCAGAACAGCCGTTTCACAAACGAATGAATGGTCATCGTAGCGACTACCAATGCAAGCCAGACCTCCCTCTCAGTCGACATTTGAGATCCCCTGGCCACACTAAGGCAGATCTCAATCGACTGACCATTACAATCATTGACCACAACTCTGCTTGGTCTAGGGAGGATAGACTCACTCGGGAAAGATTTTGGATAAGAAAATTAACAACTTTGGCACCAAATGGGATAAATGAAAAGATGTAGTTCGACTCCATGCAGTGCTTCACATTTGGGTTGTATTACTTTTTATTACAGTCTCTGTTTCTATTTCTTTACCTTACTCATCTCTAAAATAAATCTGTTGAATATACCAATTTAAATTGCTTAATTTTTTGAGGGATGTAAAAGTACCAAGCCACGTTCAACTAGTTAACCTTAGTCAAAATTTATTATTATATTTTAACGGCCGTTTGTTTGCGATGTTTAAATACGCAGACTCTGTTGCAACTACTCTACCGTTGTCAAATTTGAAATATTTACAAATTTAGATCGTTCAGTGCTGTTTATTTGGAATTCTTATTGACGCAATCGTTCTTGTAACATCATAACTGTCGTCACCGTTAAAGCTTTAGAATTGTGCTAGTTCATATCGCACATTATTATTTTTATTTAAAGCATATATTTGAACTCTCTGTTGTAATTAGTCATATAACCTATGTCGTGTTTAACACATATTTAGAATTGTGCAAGCGTCTTACCTGATGTTCGGTTTGACATTTTTATTGTATAAATTTCAAGATTTGTATAGTTTAATCTAAGTAGACTGATATATGATTCATTCAACATCACAATCATATTTACTGATGAAGGATATCTGTTATCCGAAATATTTATAAATAATTACATTTATAGTTCCTTTTTTTGTTATTGGTGTTGTTGTGTACACTTTTTAGGCGTTTATATAATTTATTTATTGTGTACGTGTATCGTTACTCGTAACGATCCAGCGCCCTCGTGGGAAAAATCGTTGACTATTATTCAGACGTTTTATATATATATATATATATATATATATTGCCATGTATTATAATTTTTACTGCACCAGGGGCCCATTTTGACAATTAATGTCTCTTCAGTGGTGCTCAAAGCCTAAATAATTGAAAATCAAATTCCACCAAAAATTTGAAGAGTGATAAAACCAAAAATTACCTAAATAATAGCCAAATGCGGACAAGAAATCAGAGCTTTGCCTGAGGGAGATATATTCTTGAATTTAAAATGAGTTTTAAAAATTTCATAACAGGAACAATATCATTTAAACAATTAGGTCATGAATATTAATATATAAATATGAAATATATACACAATAATTTATTGAACTTTAGTAGATAATTGTCTCATTGGCAGTCATACCACATCTCCTTATTTTTATACAAAGAAATATTAAGGTAAACGTGATTTCAAATTATTAACACAGTGCCATTTTGTGAACCAAGATAGTCCTCTGTTTTGTTTTCAGATATCCTCATGATATAATATTGAACTGCCTTATGCAGTATTCAAAATACAGATATAAAATCAATGACTACAAGGTATTGTTTATACTTGACAGTTTATCAAATTTTGGATTTTTTATCCTGTCTTTCACATAGAAGTTTCAATGGAAATCTTATATACAATACATAGAAGATTATCAAATATCCTGTTCACTATAATGAAACTGCTATGCATGACAAATATAGAAGTTTAATTATATGAAGCATATATAATCTTCATTGAACTTTCTAAACAGGGAAAAGAGGGGAATTTTAATAATTAGCTATAAATAGAGGACATAATACTTATTTAGATAAAGAACAGATCAACTTTGAATTGAAACATTCCTCATACATACATGTGTTAAGCTTAGTAAATTTGTTTCAACAAGTGTTGCTGAGGAGTAACAGTTTAATTGTGGAAATGTATATATTGAAGTATATATATTGTCTGGGTTCGGTTTTTACAGGTTTCACTGTACCTTGAAGTTTAATACATTGGTTGTCCCTATTGATTATGAAGAACCTATACATACAAATTTATTTTCCTTATAGATACAAATTAGCCAGGTACATAATGTATATATATATATATACCTAATACTATTCATAAAGCCAAGGTCTATTATTTACCTGTAATTAGCTGATTTTATTTCTTATCTTGTAAATATCATAACATTATGGTGAATGAAACACTGGTTTATCTCCAGTAGAATGACAATTAAATGCAATGAAAACACCTGACACAAGCTTTCTTTCTCTGTTACAATTTCTATACATTCCATTCATTTCTAATGAAACACAATACATCATATAAATTATAAATTACATAGTTGTATCATTTCACTCACCAAATTGGTTTTCATTTCCAACTTTGAAGTTTGATCCCCCAAAGTTTGATGTCAAGTCATCTTTACCTAAAAAAAATTTAAATTATAAATAGTTTTGAAAAGGTACGTCTTAAAATATTTGCAGCTTCAGCATTAGTTTACTGAGATATTTTTTTAATAACAAGATGGATACACCTGTGCTTGTACCACTCATCTAGTGAAAAAAATAGCTAGTCTGCTAATGAGAACCTTGATATGCACCTACTCGTCATTCTTTGTGTTGCTGATCATTTTTACAATTTATATGTTAAAATCTAACTCCTGTTGTTTTTGTGATTAGTCAAAACTGCAAAAAGTAGTAAAAATCAACATTTCAGGGAAAATAACTTCAAAACAAATTGTCAAATTTTCAGGGTAGACAGATCTCATCATGCTGATTACAATTCACACTTTTCACCTAGCATCTCTAGTTAAAAAGATAACATAAAAAAACAACAAAATTCGAAAAAAAATATATTTCAGGGGCAATCACATTGCTCATTAACAGTTTCGGTATTTGCCTATAGAATACATATTAAATTTAAGGGATCATCATTTTCAGATAGGATTATAGCTAATATTTCTCATATATGTAATATTAGTTTAACTTTCTATATTTACAACACCTGTATTTATACAAACTACTTACTATAAAACCTTTTTTCTTCTTAACGTTTTGTAATCAAATTAAAATCTAATTAAAGGATAAAAAGTACCCAGCAGGGATCAATAAAATATATTTCTTATAAAATTGTAATACCATAGTTTGTTTAGGATTATTCTACTGATAAAATGCTGACTAATAATGCAGATTAAAATTTGTTTTTGACTAATCCTTTCTATTGAGTTTCTTCCACACACATAAAGTAAAATTGAGAATGGAAATGGGGAATGTGTCAAAGAGACAACAACCCGACCATAAAACAGACAACAGCAGACAGTCAAGGATATAACTCTATAGGGTTATTAGAGAAAAATAACATATGTTTGTTACTGTGGACTAAAAAATCAAAGACCTGTGATAACTTATGCATGTATGTTACATGTTTCAAAGGGACAATACACATCATTAGTTTTGTTAAAATGTTTACAGGTTCTATTGATATTGCTATTGTCTTTATGTATACTTAACTATAGAAAGATATAACAGTTCATATTTTGACAATCATGCATAGTTAACACCTATGTTATTACAGAAAAAATTGGCCTGTAATAACTAAAGGGTGTTATTACAGCTTCTCTATATCACTCCAAAGCATTTGCTCAGACATACCTCATGCTTAATTACAATTTATTTTAATTCATTGTAAGAAATAATAACCAGAGCATGTAATGAGGTTCTGCGCAAGCTTCCCAGTAATTCCCAAGTGTCTCATATAATAAGTTGCATGCCTTTAATAACTAAGCCTTGTTATTACAGCTAAGTTTATCACTTAAAAGCCTTGTCTTATTGATTTACCATGGTTAATGATAAATGTATTAATTTAATTCAAAAATTAGTTATCAAGGCTATGCATTTAGTTTCTGCGCAAAGTTTCCAGAGTTCCCTAGAGCCCACTAAAAATTAAAATGTTGATGATTTATTTTACAAATAACAAACATATGTTATTACAGATTTAGAAAATTTTAGATTTAAAGAGTAGACAACTCATAAAAATATCTGTAATAACACATGCAAGTTATTTCCTGTAATAACCCGATAGAGTTATATCCCTGACTGGCAGAAGGTCACCAACAGGTCTTCAACGCAGCGAGAAATTCCTGCACCTTCAGCTGGCCCCTAAACAAATATATATACTAGTTCAGTGATAATGAACTCCATACTAAACTCCAAATTGTACACAAGAAACTAAAATTTAAAATAATACAAGACTAACAAAGGCTAGAGGCTCCTGACTTGGGACAGGCGCAAAAATGCGGCGGGGTTAAACGTTTTCTTCACATTTGTATGTAGTGGAAACTAAAATGAAATGTTATTCAGCATTATACTTTTAACTACATATATTTTTTTTTCAAACCAGATAACGTAGTAATTAAGTCATGATGACACAAATAGCAATTAAATAAAACACTAATATATCAGAAAGGGCCTCACTTGCACGTGAGGCACATTTAAGGGATGACTAAAAAATGTGGTGCACACTTTTAAATGTTCACCACATTTTTTATGACAGAAAAAATATTACAGTCATTCCTTATAATTCAATTCCAAATTCCTTTTTTAAGGAGTAAATCATGAAAAAAAATGTTGATGACGTCACAGTCACATGACAAAATTATGTCTATGAGATGATAGACAAAAAACTTTCAGCCAATCAGTAGACGTGTTACATCCAAAATTAAATTATAAACAAATAATTAGCATTAATGCAAACAAAGCAATTTAGCAAATATTCTGTATAGCATATGTCCACTAGCAAAAGACTGGCACATCCAAGTCATTGTGGGTAGTTTAATTACATGATCAGTTTGTAATATATGAATAGCAAAATAATAAGTTGTCAAAATTTCATCCAAGTTCTATAAATAACATGAAGAAATTTTATGTTATGTTAGAGAAATGTTGTTTCCCCAAAATCTGATTTTAGATATGGTGGCCAAGAGATCTTTTTTAAACAGGAGTAGAGGGATATTTGTTTACATCAGAAATCATTTCATAATATATTCTATTGAGATTTCAAGTTTCCTTGAAATCTGATAACTATTTTTGGCAGCCATTTTGAAAATGTTGGCAGAAGAATAAATTTTGACAACCTGAAGTAATTAATGATATCTTGTTCTATGTCCTAGTTCTATGAACTTTTCTGATGTTTTTGGCATCCATTTTAAAGATGGCAGCTGACAGATGATTTATCAGTTTGACATCAATAAATTTGGAAAATATATAAAAATATATAGCATATAACTTCTATATATGATTCTACCACTGCATTGAGTGTGATATGATATTTCTCCACTCAAGCCACTTAAATTTTCAAAATTAAAATTGCAAGGCTCGCAGAGAGTTTTAAATATTTAACTAGATATGGACACAGTGTTTTCTATTTGGCATTTAAGCTGGGTGTGCCAACCACCTTCTTTTGAAAGCCAACCACCTTTCCATTTTAGGAGGTGGTCGGCTTTTTTTTTCAAATTTCGGATATTTTTAGGTTCTGCACTGTAAAAATTTGAATACTAATCGCGCCTCGCTGATTTGTTTTCATTGACAAAAATGGCGGATCGTCAAATTTCAATGTTTTCTATTATTATTCGAGGGAAGAGAAAGGCAGATGACGATGGTGATAAGAAAAACTTTAGGCAAAATAAGTCAACTAAAATGGATAGTTGTATTGAAATTGTTAAAATTGAAAAAAAAGTATCAAAACAACGGAAAAGACACGCGAGCGATCGAGAAGGTAAACAGGTTGGGAACAATCCCCTAATGAGGGATATTCCTTAAATGAGTGACAAGATGTCGTCTTATTGTTGAAGAAAAGAAAAAAGAAAAACTAAGATTTTTTAACTTAAAAGGGGGAAAACTCGTTATAAAATCCAATCAAATCAAACTGTTTATTATTCCAATCAGGGTCCCACAGGGGGCATTTACAATTAACAATAATTTATGATAGTATAACTATAAGCAACAAACATGAGACATTATACAGTTATGTAATATTTGGAACAACTTTTCTAAAAGAGGGTCCCTTTTTTTTAATGATAAAGTAGATATAAGTCCAGGATTATTACAAAAATCTTGGATATGTTTTGACCATATAATACCAAATAGATGTATAGTTCTTTGGAAAAAGTTTCTGTAAATGAAATAAATATGTGCTCATTTGTATCTCTTGAAAAGTATCCTTCATAAAAGGGATAGTCATTACATTGAGGGGTTGTTCCCAAGCTGAGAAATATGAACAGGACTTTAAATGGCTAATCGTCACAGAAGAAGGATGTTACTGTTCTGTGTACCAAAAATACAGCACTAAAGCAAGGAATAGGACAGAAACTTGGCAGGAGAAGGGAGTCCTGCAAAAGCCATCTGCTATTCAATTCCATTAAATGTGAATACAATACTAACCATTCTTTTTGTGACAACACCCACAGTAAAAAAAAAAACGGTTGGAAAAGTATAAAAAAAATAATACGACCGGTTGCAAGTGATTTTTTCAAAACATCCATCTGACCTTAGTGAAAAATGGAGAACACTGATGGACAATGCCCCCCGCATATTTTAGATTTGACAAACAGTGATGTTGGCATACAACTTGAAATTGTTACGCTGTCTGTAAGACACAAATGATGCCCCCACCTGACCATAGGAAATTATAAATTTAACACTATGTATGATGATGTAACTGTAGGAGGAGATAGCCGGACAAACCATGATCTCTTTATGCAGCTAGTACCAAAACTAGAGGCTCTCAAGAGCCTGTGTCGCTCACCTGACTCTACTTTGGTTTTAGAAATCATGTAAAGATAGATAAAAATCATAACAGATACCCAAATAATGATTGAGGCCAAATTTTGATTAATATTGGTCCCGTTATTTAATAAAATATCCTGGTGGCCATCTTGAACAGTAAATCGGCAACAAAGTAGCAACACTTGGTCAGCACTTCATAAGGAACATTCATGCCATGTTTGGTTTCATTCCATTCAGTGGTACTCTAAAAGAAGACATTTGTATGTATTTCCCATAGGGTCCTATGTTAAACTAAGCCCCCCCCCCCCCCCCCCCCCCCCCCCCTAGCGGCCATCTTGGATGATGGATCAACTGCAAAGTAACAACACTTGGTCAGCAACTCATAAGGAACATTCATGCCATGTTTGGTTCAATTCCATTCAGTGGTTCTCTAAAAGAAGACAATTGTATGTATTTCCCATAGGGTCCTATGTTAAACTAAGTCCCCCGCTGTCGGCCATCTTGGATGATGGATCGGCTACAAAGTAACAACACTTGGTCAGCATCTCATAAGGAAGATTCATAACATGTTTGGTTTCATTCCATTCAGTGGTTCTCTAAAAGATGACATTTGTATGTATTTCCCATAGGTCCTTTGTTAAACTAAGTCCCCTGCTGTCGGCCATCTTGGATGATGGACCGACTGCAAAGTAACAACACTTGGTCAGTACCTCATAAGGAACATTCATGCCATGTTTGGTTTCATTCCATTCAGTGGTTCGCTAAAAGAAGACATTTGTATGTATTTCCCATAGGTCCTTTGTTAAACTAAGTCCCCTGCTGTCGGCCATCTTGGATGATGGACCGACTGTAAAGTAACAACACTTGGTCAGCACCTCATAAGGAACATTCATGCCATGTTTGGTTTCATTCCATTCAGTGGTTCTCTAAAAGAAGACATTTGTATGTATTTCCCATAGGGTCCTATGTTAAACTAAGTCCCCTGCTGGCGGCCATCTTGGATGATGGACCAACTGCAAAGTAACAACACTTGGTCAGCATCTCATAAGGAACATTCATGCCATGTTTGGTTCCATTCCATTCAGTGGTTCTCTAAAAGAAGACATTTGTATGTATTTCCCATAGGGTCCTATGTTAAACTAAGTCCCCCGCTGGCGGCCATCTTGGATAATGGATCGGCTACAAAGTAACAACACTTGGTCAGCACCTCATAAGGAACATTCATGCCATGTTTGGTTTCATTCCATTCAGTGGTTCTCTAAAAGAAGACATTTGTATGTATTTCCCATAGGGTCCTATGTTAAACTAAGTTCCCCGATGGTGGCCATCTTGGATGATGGATCGGCTACAAAGTAACAACACATGGTCAGCACCTCATAAGGAACATTCATGCCATGTTTGGTTTTATTCCATTCAGTGGTTCTCTAAAAGAAGTCATTTGTATGCATTTCCCATAGGGTCCTATGTTAAACTAAGTCCCCCGCTGGCGGCCATCTTGGATGATGGATCGGCTACAAAGTAACAACACTTGGTGAGCACCTCATAAGGAACATTCATGCCATGTTTGGTTTCATTCCATTCAGTGGTTCTCTAAAAGAAGTCATTTGTATGCATTTCCCATAGGGTCCTATGTTAAACTAAGTCCCCTGCTGGCGGCCATCTTGGATGATGGATCGGCTACAAAGTAACAACACTTGGTGAGCACCTCATAAGGAACATTCATGCCATGTTTGGTTTCATTCCATTCAGTGGTTCTCTAAAAGAAGTCATTTGTATGCATTTCCCATAGGGTCCTATGTAAAACTAAGTCCCCCGCTGGCAGCCATCTTGGATGATGGATCGGCTACAAAGTAACAACACTTGGTCAACACCTCATAAGGAACATTCATGCCATGTTTGGTTTCATTCCATTCAGTGGTTCTCTAGAAGAAGTTCAAAATGTAAAAAGTTAACGCCGACGACGGACGACGCCGGACGCCGGACGACGGACGCCAAGTGATGAGAAAAGCTCACTTGGCCCTTCGGGCCAGGTGAGCTAAAAATGACTAAGTCCAACTACCTGTCCTTTTTAGCATATTTAAAAGAAATCAAAATCCTGTGGCCATGCACACCTCCATTATGAATATCCTACAAAATATTAAAGCTATGTACCTCCAAAACTGTAGGAGGAGATACATGAGATAGCTGGACAAACCATGATCTCTTTATGCAGCTAGTACCAAAAAAATAAATATGCCCTCCCGACATTTTGTGGCAGGGGCATCAACATTTAACTGTTGAGAGTGGAGAAATATCATACATGTCATATAGCACAAAATTTGGTGGTGGAATCATTTTTTCTAAAGATAATGCAGACAAACTTAATCTTTCTTTTTTAATGATCTGCAAAAAGATGTGTTTTTTCAATGTGACAACATCAGGCATAGTTGCCTTTTTTCGTGATGTCACAATAGGAAATTTAGTGGTTCCAAGCAAGAAAATTGACATCATAACTCAATGAAGAACTGAGATCAAATGAACCACGTGTTGATTAAAAAAAAAATTAATCAACAGGTTAGAAAAAAGCATAAATCAGCTAAGAATAAGAGAAGTATTTATATATCAATTGGTAAATCCTAGCTCATAAATATGTTTTTCAGCATTTGTGAAGTTTTTACCTCAAATTTTTGAGAATGGTGACCGACAGAAACAATTTAATCAATATGGAATAGCAAGTTTAACCTCATTATCAATTTACATAGAAATCTTATTCTTTGCACAAAAAATTGTTTCTTAAAATTTTAGATTGTTTAACAAAATCTCAGTTTATACCGCAAATTTAAGGATATGGCATGCTGACCATCTGGATGGTAAGACAGAGTTATAGGGCCCCTTATTCTTTCACTGTTCCTTTTCATAGTTTTAATCAGTATGAATTAATACTTCATATCCCTTCTTCCCATTACATTTATTATTTTAAGTGTAACAGTGCAATGTATTTATTGCTTCTTTAACCTTTTCATGGTGGTGAATTGTATATTTATGCTATTGGGAATCCCCTATCTGATACAAAAAACATCAAATATAAAATTTTATTGTCTTATTTTAATACCAAACAATATAAATTGTTTGGTTGTAATAAGCTTTAACTTCTATATGTGTCATGACAGTATTATCATGATTATATTTCACATGATAAAATTAAAATAAACCTCATCTTCAGATCTGTAGATTTGATATTCACACCATACAGTATGATCAATAAGTTCACATTAATGTTCAGAATTTAAATCTTGGTCTATAGTTTGGTAAATATTGAGATTTAGGACAGTGAATCTTTATGAGTACTAAGTATAATGTATGGTTTGTAGCATGAAAGTAAAATTGACATTAAAGATAACCTTTATAGCATACAATAAGTAGGAGAAATATATTTTACTTTTGATTTAAAAAAACATGCAGTCAATAATATTTATACAAACTTTAAAGTTGTCTTTAAATGATTTGTATCTTGTAAATTACTGATTAAGGATAAGAAATAATTCAACACATGAATGTCCAAATGTTTGCTTTAAACATTTGAAGTAATTCCAAAGGGAAATTATAAACAAATATTGTTCTCATGTAAAGAAAATCAGTCAAAATAGATCTTTTCAAGGACTGTTTACTTAGTTGTCCTAACAAAGCCTATGATATACCTTTTCATATATACAAAAAAAGTTTATGTTTGTATATTAATAAATTGCCTTTTCACATGCACCAATCCAGGAACTTTAGAAAGGGGTTTCCTACTAGAGAAAAAAAAAGAAGCAGTTTAAATCTTGCATTGCAAAAGGCCACCACCAAGACGCTGCAGAGAGTTGTTGAATGTGTTCTTTAACATGCCTAGACCACAGCACTCTCCATACATAGAACAGACAACAGTTGAACCAAACATCACACTGAAAATTAAATCTTGAACTCACGTGTTACTAAAATACCACAAATGGTTATTTTCAGAAATAACCACAGTGAAAATTCATACCTTTTACATTCCCGTATCTAGAGTAATAAGTATTGTTTGCTTTCAGATTAAGTCCATCTGTAGAAGGCTTTATATTTTTTCCTAAAGAAACATTTTTCTGTATACTCCATACATCGTCTACACCAAACTGTGTTTCTGAAATAAATGAGCACAGCTTATACATACAAGTTATTATTCCTTACGCTGAAAGTAAAAAAACTTAGCAAAGACTGAATAAGAATAATTAACTTAAAATAGGCCATCAGTCTTTGCTCTTACTTCTAAATGCAATGTGCTAAGCAGAGAAGCAGCAAATACCAAGTCTTTGGTTTGACCATGCTGGGATTGAACCCAGGACCTAAGTTTTGGAAAGTATTTGGTCTACGTGAACAGAATATAACAACTATTCTTTTTTTCTTCCTTTTTTTTTTGCAAATAGTTAATTTGCTTCATGAAAAAAATCCTTTACAGACATCGAACTCAAAGACAAAATCCCTCAGATAAGTAGCTATTATAAGGTGGCAGGTCTGTTCAAAATATCCATAATTTTACTAGGCATTCTCTTTCTTGTGACAACTCCTAATCAGAAAAATGTTGATGTTTTTAATGCTTATGGACTAAAACATGTCAGTGATTTTTTTCATAACTTTTGTCTTTTAAAATCATAACTCAAACATTTCGTTATCCATTTCTTTTTTTTTTTTTTTTTTTTTTAAATAAATGATTAGAAAGTGACATTTGGCATTTTCAATTGTTTTGTTATTTGAAATATATATATATATATATGCTGTCTCTTTTTGTTGTTTTTTCACATATACCAGTATGTGTGTCGAATGAAGTGTTAACGGTAAATTGTCAGTTTTGGGTAAACTTGTGTAGGTGGGTTACTGGCATGACTGGCTCATTTATGTCTACATCTCCTTTTTCATTATTTCAAATACTGATCTACTGTGGTCATGGATATTTTAACAGCTTATCACTTCTATAACTTATGGGGCAATGTAAGGGGCATTAAGAGCTAAGCTGCCTTTTTAGAATGAGTTCCTACTAATGACTTAAAAGAGGTCATCACTGAATAGCTGTCTCATTGATATAACTCCATATTTAATTTAATTCATGTAAATAAGTATGTCAACCATCAATATATGACTTATTTAAAGTACCTCTAGGAGAGGCCTGTTGTTTACGTGGAGAAAATGTCCATTGTTCCTCTTGGTCTTCTTTCTTTGGACCACTATACAGAAACTTCTTTGTATTACCTGCTAAGTAAAAAAACACGTTAAAGAATCTGGGACTTCTGACCACGTCAATCACCATTTGTCATTATACATGTACCTTCCAAACAGTCTGTCTGAAGAAAATTATGTTCGACAAGGTTTTTTTTTAACAACCTGGACTACCCATGAGGGTCTTGCACGGTGGGTGCAAAGTTGACAACTAAAAATAATGTTGATGATGGGAGTTTTTAACGACCTTGACTGGCTATACAGCCCTTGCATTGTCTGAACATAATGTTGCAATATTGACAGAATATCTTAAATGACAGCTAATGTAAAGACTTTCTATTTGAAGACAAAGCTTGAAAGAAAACTGAGTTACAATGCTTATCCACTATCATCAATTCACAAAGTTATTTTAAGAAAACCTAATTTGACAAATATATCAGAAAACCTGTCTGCAAGGAAGACAACTCTGTCTGTGTGTAAATCACATATTGGGAATTGTAATGATAAATGTATTCAAATTTTGTTTTTTTTATCACAAGTCGGTGAAGATACATGTGTTCACATTAATAGAATGGAAAAGAAAAAACTCGACCAAAAATCTCAAAGCAGGCTAAGCAAACACATAACCAAATATGTTGGCCCTATTTGTTTGGTAGTATGTAGCTAAAGCTAATTTAACCACATGAACATAATATAATTGTATGCTTTGTCACTGAATCAATATCAGTTGTATTCCTTATACAGTATAAAACTGATAACATTATTTTGGTTCATCATTGATTTTACCTCTTGACATAAAATCTATATTCTATACTTTATAAAGTTGTTATTGAGTGGTTATGAAAACACTCACTTCCAATATCTACATTCTTTCTTTGATTATAAAAACAATCATTATTTTTCTTTTCCCTTATACATGTACATAGTTAAATTTAACCCTCTTAATGAAATCAATATATTTTATTATGAGAACTTCTTAAATTTAGAGTACAGCAATGCAAAACTAAGACCCCAACATGTGAAAAACAAAATGAAGTGTATACAAGATGAAATTTTTCAAACATTTCTAAAAGATAAACTTTGTTGACCTTAAGATTATTGGTTTTCCATGTCCTGTTCTTGCTAACTCATTAATTAGTCATTAACAATTCCTAGAATTCATACTTATTTGAATTATTTCAAGTATTTAGTTCAAAATAAAGGACCAATTAAAGGCAGAATAATTTTTTTCTACATTTGAACATATTTCATGATAAATTATAAATATATCAGTACAACCACATCAACCTTTTATATGAAAAAACAAGGAACAACTAGATGCAAATTATATGTTTAACAAAAGGAAGGGCGCTTGCTTCTTTTGAAACATCACAAGGACTTAATGGGAAACATTTCATTTTAAAATAATGACATTCATTGTACATTTATACACATATTCACTAATCATTTTTGTTTTAACTGAGGTTGGATTGTAGGTCTTGGACTTTCAAGGTTCGTAAAATACTCTGCAAGGCTCAAGCACTTTTAAAAGGAAGCAAATCAAAAAGGCTGCCCGAAAAGGACATACATAATTAACAAATACAATTTTTTTTTTTAAATGAAATATGTTAACATGAAGTACATATTGGTTTTAAATTTCTGACTATAAAAGCTTAATTACCAATGTATAGATCTTCAATACAAGAAGGAAATGGCCATTGTACGGACTGAAGCTCATAAAAAAGAATTAGCAACAGTAATTTCATGATAAAAATCTTTGACTGATAATGAGAACTATAACAATGTTAACTTTTTTCGATAATGAGTTTTTAAGAAATCAATTTACCTTTATTATATCCTGAGCTAACAGTCATTATCGACATAACTAGTTTGACAGGAACTATTTTGCTAAACCATGTCCGTCTTTTTAAATTATTACTTCAAACTTTATAACAAAACCCTATTTATAATTCCTTCTCAACATTTAAATGTTTATGGATTAAATCAATTTAATACCTATAACCTGTGACTAAACAATTGCAAATATTGCCAAAAACATTCAACAAAGCCTGTTGTCTTCAAACATGAACATGAGGGATCAAGTGCAGCTAAACTTCCTTTACAGTTTGTCCAATAAGATTTCTATAAATGACTTTGTTGAAAGCAGATAGTACATATGACATGTCTCTAATATATTTTTTACAATTTTATAATTAGGACTAATGCCAGGCCTCGCAGTCATAAAAATTTGGAATATGATTATCATACTCAGAATTCAACCTGCCAAAATGTTGGATTTGATGTTTCGAACACAAATTTTGTACTTTGATTACTGAGTAAAGGTTTATGACTGTAGGCCCAGATCTATAAGTTCATTTGGCTCCAAATAGTAGGAGAGATCACAGGCACTTATCCCTGTAGCTAACTATTAATGCACTAGAACTAGAATTGAAGTTCAGAAGATCCACATTGTCTACACTGGGAACAAGTCCCTATATCGAAGCATCAAAATTAAAATTCATTTTACAAAAGCAATTTGAAGTGTAATTTTCTTTTGAGACCCCAAGGACTGGCAGGTAATGGAAATCTAAAGCCTATAAAGAAGTTTATGTATTCAGATAATTTTTCTGTCTAATTTATGCACATTTTTTAAACATTTCATAGCCATAGTAAAGAATTTCAGAGGGTTTGTCTAAACCCTAATGTGAGATCACAAGCTAAGTTGACGTTGCAAGCTGAGAAGAAAAATATGTATAAATGTAAATGCTTAATAATGTACTTTTAAAAAATTGATGGTGAAATAAGCTACAATAAAGTTGATCTCTATTTCAAGGCATACAACATGTTTCTGAAATATTTTACTTTGGTCACAGTATGGATTTATTGATTGATGGTGTTTAATGCCACTTTCAGCACTATGGACTATATGGCGGAGGAAGTCCTAGTGCCCAGAGAGAACCACTGACCTTTGGCAGTATGAAAGTTCATCAGATAAGTAAAAGGAACTGTATACATAACATATACATGCATGCATGTATGTATGCATGAATTCAAAGGATAAAAAACAAAACAAACCATTGATGGCTTTAATTCCTCTTTCTAAAATATTTTCTTTATATGTTATTACATATTTTAAGTTAGAACCCTTATAATAACTATTAGAACTACTGTAAACTGTGTCATCGTAGTCAAATGCTAGAGTTCCTAATGCTGACTGGAACCATTTACAATAAGGATATTTACTGAATTTGAGAGGGTGAGCATCAAATTAATAATACTTTACCTACTTTTGAAATTAAAGTACAAATATGTGCAAGATAGTAATTTCTGTTTAATTTTAATTTCAGTTAAATTTATAACATTGTTGTAAATATTTATGACATGTTTACTATTCTGGTACATTGTAGGTGTTGACTGTCTATATACAATAAGGTTCAGGCTATTGTCAATAATCATAATGGTTTTACAACAATACTAGTACATTTTGTGTGTTGTAAATACATTGTATGTAAGAATTGACAGTACAGACACATACAAGATTTTACATTCATGTAAAATTTTGTATCCTCATTCAAATTTACATTGTTCTAAACATATTTATTATTAAAGTTATACAATCAAATTTCAGACAACTTTTACTGTAACCATGACCACATCCTTATACATAATTTGTAAGTCCAAAGATTATGCATGACACCTTGTAAGCATTACGTATCATTCCTATTAAATTGTTGAGTTTCTGTCTGAGGGGCAAACATTTGTAAACTATCCACAATTAAGTGCTAAACTACATGTATCTGATATTTATAAAAGATCAATTAGTTTAAATACATGTTCTTTAGCTTTCTATTCTTATTTAACAGAAGCTTAATATTTCAATATTTTCTTCACAACTAAGAGCTTTGACATCTGACCTAACAGTTCAGAGTTCTCATCATTGTTGAACACTATAATGACCTATATATACATGATAGATGTGGTCATTCTGTCATTTGGTATTAGCTGGATATATTGTTGACATTCACATAACATATCTTTATTTCAGCTATAAAAATAAGCATTTAGGAGATGTGGTATGATAGCCAAAGAAACAAATATCCATCAGAGACCAAAGATGAAACAGTTTACAATTTGATCCAAATACTTTCTCTCCTATTTTACAATCAAAACCTATACCAACACCATAGATGTACATCTATGCTATAATATACTAGAGAATATGACAACCATTTGAGGACTAGTGGAGAGGGTTGTATCTCTAGTCCACACTATTAACTAGTAAACTATTTATACTTGCATTAATACCATTTAAGTTTAATTATTTTAATAGTATTAAATCTCAATATTTAATCTGTAAATCATTTCAAGACAAACATTGTTTTTGAATTCTGTTTATACAACAATTCATGAGCTAAAGTCTGTAGATCTAGATGTTGCACTTTAATAATTATAAATGCTTTGACTTGGATCATTTTTGATTATTTTTTTTCGAAAAATCGATATAGACATTCCAATTAAATCACTTTTTCACTTAATTATAAAATCATTGGTTTTCTATTAGATAGGCTGAATCTAAGGTCAGACAAAAAAAATTGAACTATTATAATACCTTCATAAACACAACATAACATTTATTGTTAATCCAGTAATTTTTTTTTAAATGAAACATTGAATACATCAAATTCATATAAAGCATAATTATAATTCTTAATGAAGCTCGAAACTTATTATTTTTTTCCAAAGGCTTCACTCAACATTGAAGAACAAATGAAATAATTTGCTTTTCTGTTGAAGGAAATCAATCAGAAACTGATTCTAAGATTTTTACATTAAAATTGATCAATAAAAATACTGACATTGTAATTATATCAATTAAAGCCAGAAATTGTTAACTTTACCTTCAGGATCCATCATAAGATGAGTTTAAACATGTTAAAATTATTCCCTTTTCTCCAATTATATATATATATATCCTTTGTGACAACTATCTATTTTCATTTAACACATTACATTGTACCAGATTTAATATGATTAATACAACACAAAATACACAGTTCTGAAATCCAGGTGTTTGGATACTTCCTATAAGAATTTCTTCTAATCAGTGAAGCACAAATGGATGGACACACTGTGACGTTTCTGTTCCGATCAATAAAACACGCTTACTTTTGTCATATATAAGTATATAGGTAAATAGACCGTTTATATCAACAACTTTAGAGAATTTATAACATTTAAATTTCATACAGGTAAAATGATCAAATGGTCTATTTCAACATGTTGCTTTGAAATTTGTGTAATTAAATTACAACATTATACAAGGGTCTATAAACTTTGATATGAATTATAGTTAAATGATAGGGAAAACAGGATGTCAAACCAAAGTTCATCCTCACAGTCTTCAATGTTTTTATTAATCAATTATTAGTTTGATGTTGAATAGATATAATGTTTTCATTGTTTGATGATATAATAATTATGGATTTTCATTTTGTCAACAAAATTTCAACATAATTGAAATCCAATCTAATTAAAATTAGTTCCCCACACTTATGGCACTTAATTGCTCCTCATTTTCGTTCAGTTGGTTATACATTTGTACGTCACACGACATATAAACAACCAAACGAAAATGAGGAGCAAGTGCGGAGAACTAATTCTATTAATTAGATTGATTGAAAACCTGTGATTAAAATAGACAAAAAAGGTCAATCTCAAATTAAAACTTTAAATTTTAGTCCAAAGTAAGGCCAAATAAATTTAATAGAAAAACAAAGGATATGGGGTATCCATCCATGACACAAAAATCAGTACATCAGAGGCGGATCCAGAAGGGGGGGGTTTCCGGGGTTTGGAACTCCCCTTTTTTTTGACAAACAATGCTTTTGAATGGGGACATACAATGTAGTGTTGGAACCCTACTTTATCCTGGGTTGAAACTTCCCCTTTTAAAAATGGCTGGATCCACCCCTATACATGCACAGCAAAAACACACAAAAAGCAAGGCCATTATCACATTCCTTCCTTTTCTAAGTCATTATAGGGCAAACATGTAACAAAATTTACAAGTAGGACACACCTCACAAATTAGTTGATGTCTCTAGTTTAGATTGGCAACAGCTTTACGTATAAGTTTTGTCCAAGTCTGATGAGAATAAAATTAAAAGTGCTTATCAAACCATTTTAACCTGTTATTAAGGTGTTTAATTGTCAACATTACATGAGAAGGATTATCACTAAACTTGAGATTCCCCGCCTTGTCATACAGTAGGAGGGACAAAATAAGTTGGAAAATGGGATATCACTACAAACACCTGAAATTTTAATTATAAATGAACAAAGTAAAGATACATGTACTGCTCAAAATGCTTCAAGTAACTGCAATGTCTTCAATGGTAAGAACTCTCACAACTTCATATTGACAAAATAACAGGAGTATGTTCATTGGAAACCATGCCCTGTTTAAAAAAAAGTTCACAAAGTTGATGTGACCATAAATTCATAGTAAACTAAAACATCAACCTGATATGTGACCTGATATGCGACAGATGAACAGACATACAGACTAGAAAACAATATGCCCCCTACTATCGTAATTGGGGCATAAAAATTATTTCATCCCAAAGGACTTTTATCTTGAACAGATCACCATAAAATTAAAGAGATACAAATTACAATACTGCATACTCCAACAACAAAAGTCACTGTTATATTTTAGCAGGGTACATAAGGGGTGACAAGGCCAGTCACGATATGTTGCTGTCAGCAATGTCCATTTATTTGTTCAATAGCAGGAGTACTTTAAGGTAAGATAAAGCCTGACCTCTTGTCTGTCCCATGATATATGTTTTCTGCTATATTTTCCCAACTTATTAAATTTCAAAAACAATAAATAAGTCAACAAGCTAAGAATCACATGGTTGACTGGTCTATTTTTCTTTTTATAACTTTCTAACATTCATATTTTGTTATTTTACATTACTGCAATTTTATTTGAAGAAACAAGCTTTAAAGATTTTCATATCAATATAATCTAAGAAGATGTGGTATGATTGCTAATGAGACAACATTCCACCAGAGACCAAATGACATAAAGCTTAGCAAACTATAGGTCACTGTATGGCCTTCAACAATACACCTTATTGCTATTTGTCCGTTATCATTGGCCATAACAGATATATTCCTGTTAAATCATGACGTCACAAGACAAAATGTTTGACCCAACAATGCAAAAGTGATTGTTGTATGACGTCAATAGTTCAAATGTCGCAGATTCCAAGATAGCGATAAGTTCTATCAGCAAAACCATTCATGTATACACTGTTATATTTCACATTTAATTTATAGAAAGAATTTGGGAAACTTACATAGAAATAATCCTTTATTCCTTGCATATCAATGAATATTGTATATTTTAACATTTATTTATTTATTTTTACAGTAAATCAAAATTATTAATTACATGAATTAACTTAGTCTAAGTCCAAAGTACAGGAATACAATTCAAAATTTATATAACATATTATGACTAAACTGTGAGGTATCATTGCATTAAATACTAGTGTTAAATTCTACCGTTAGATATATCTCTCTGATTAGAACTTGTCAGGTGAATAACACCAGGTCTAGTCAGAAATTCAATCAGACTGAATACAATAAAAATTATCAATTTAGATCTGTAACATTAAATGGTTCTTTTGAAATGACAGGGATAATTGTGTTTGATAAAAAGACCTATCTGTTTACAAATCTTCATTTAAGACTTAATGGTCATTTAAACTAAACCACACAATTTATCTGTTTAAATTTATATAAATATGCATTGCATTAGATATCAAAATCAGAATGTATAAGCTAGTGTTAACAGCTCAAACTCCTAAGTTCATACTATACCTATTTTTTTTTAATTAGATCACCAGAGCAGAATCCAAACATTAATACATTAAAGGATTGTGATGAAAAAGGCTAGTGTAATTTACTCATCGAATTGCACAGATAAAGCAATCACCCGCGGGCCGTGTGCATGAAATTGAAATTTCAAAAGTAATAAATAGAAGAGCCTTTGTCCCTCACCCAGGTCTATGTGAATCTTGAACAATGAACACTCTCTAACATTGTGGACTAGCATAAAATTCATGACTGTCAAAAACACAAAAAAAGGGCAATCACTCCTTTAAAGAGTTTACTAACGATTACTGCAAAATTTAACTTAAAAGTAGATCTTGTCTTGCTGATCATTTTTGCTTTTTATAGTGTCTATCTATCTCTTTAAGTTTTCAAGATAATAGGCCAAAATGTAACAGTAAATTTGGTCCAGTAGACTTTTTTTCCTAGGTAATCAAGTCTATGACCATGATTTTACTAGGAATGTAAGTCCCAGGACAAAATTTCCTAGAAAAATAAGTCCCTAGCCAGTAAAATATGTCTGGCACTTTTATTCCTAGGAAAATTGTCCTAATACTTGTTTTTCCAGTAAAATTATGATCATGGACTTGATTACCTAGGAAAAAAGTCTGGGACACGTTTACATTCAGGAAGCAAAAAAACATATTTTCTTAGTTAAGATTGGAAAGTTTCATTAATTTTTTCCTATTAAAATATACATGTAGGGCATGGACGTTTTTACCTAGGAATATTAATGACATAGACATGTATTCCTAGGAAAATTAGTCTGGTGACATGAATTTTATTAAAATATTAATGCACAACTCTTGAACAATATTAAAACATAAAAATTGAATTTCCATTGTTTACATGTAAATAATTTATTTCATTAAATTTTACCTTTTAAAATAAAGGACATGGACGTTTTTATCTAGGAATATTAATGACATGGACATGATTTCCTAGGAAAATTAATCTGGGGACATAAATTTTATTAAAATATTGATAGATATGGAACCTTGTGGTACAATGTCAGAGAGATCCATACACTAACACACAAGTTATGTCTGGAAGTTACAAAAATGCTTATTTTTGGCCCCTTTTTGGCCCCTAATTCCTTAACTGTTGGTACCATAACCCCCAAAATCAATCCCAACCTTTCTTTTGTGGTATTCAACCTTATGGTAAAATTTCATAGAGATCCATTCACTTAAACTAAAGTTAGAGTGCGAAAACCAATGTGTCTTTAAACGACAACGCCAACGTCATACCAATATGACTTTGCGGTCGTATAAAAATTGGAATAGGCATGACATTTTGAAGTTAAAAAATAGTTTTCAATGTTAAAATACAAATATTTTCACATTTTTCATATTTTGAAATGCTATAGTCTGTTTCAAAAATGTACTTTTATACGAAAATGGTTTCTTTTAAAACTGTTGTATAAAATTCACCGTAGCAGTTACATATTGAATCGGTTTTGGTATCAATATAATCAGTACTTGATGACATATAAAGAATCATTGGAGTAAATGGACATTATCTTCAGATCTATCCTTTTTAGCAGTACCACATTTACTAAAAAAGAAACAGGATTTTTTTTTTCATTTTTAGACTGGGGTCTGCACCTCAAATAAAAAATTGTGAAAATTCATAGAGTAATGAGAAAAAGTTTTGAGGTTGATATATCTGTGGCATATATGTTTGTGCATCTTATGGACCATAAATTGCATGATTTTAGAAAATATTAAATACTGTATAGGTTACAATCAACCATTAAATATTATGGGCGCAGCCATTTTATGAAGATAGATAACATGGTATTCAGAATTAAGGGTATGGCTAATCCTGATTGGTCGATATGTGCACCCGTTATTTTTTATTAATAGAGACTTTCTGCATTATACCAAAGGCAAAATAATATATTTTCCTTAGCCATAACGGAACTGAGATGTCTTTTCTACGCTAAGATGAGACACATGTTTTTAAGTGCAGAATTGATAGGCAAGGGAGATAAGTACAAATTACGTTAAGAAAAGCCACGGAAACCTATATTTTTTGGACCAAAAAATACTGTCCGAATAACTTTTCTTTAATTGTAGTAAGGTTTCGTTAAAAAAATTAACTTTCTAAAGTCTCTATCTCAAAAAAGGCTATCATTGTCACCTATGGGGAAATTAATAGTTTATGTATTGTAATCTTATTAAAAGTTTTTCCAAATATAATGAATTTCCCCCTTTAATCATTCATGGCTTTATAAGTTAAAAAGGCAATTTTTTCTTTTTCTTTTCTACAACAGAATATATCTCT